TCTACAGTTCACCTTTAAAAATATTTACCTTCCCTTGTTTGGTATCATTCTTTTCAGCAAAACCTCACATGTCTGAATTACAGTTATTTTTATCATTTTGACATACTGTATTAACACAATTGATCCAAAATCAGACACAAAAATCTTTAAATCCAAGTAGAAAAAAGTTGTAATTTTTACTATAATAACCACAAACGTGTTTAACGAATCATTAACTTGAAATGCAAATATAAATTCTAAATTTTCAAAATCTATGCACAAGTTTTGCAAACAACAGTTATATGCAGCTACTTACCTAAAAATGCAGCCAAGGCATTTTTTTTTAACTATTTCAAACTATTTACATTACACTCAGCCGTTCTGCATCAAATAAGATGCCGCATAAATTATTTGTGCCACTCCAGCAACTAATTTCTGTCCACTGTAAAATAAAGGAGAACATCACGAGCCTGATACCTGCAGGCATGAAAGCAGGAAGTGTATCACTCCTGTTTTCCACCTACAGACGGCGTCTGGCTTTGGTGGCTTTTTGGCAGCACCCATGACATTCAGCAGACACACAAAACAAAACTATCCACTACACTACACACTAAATATACAACACAATACACTAACAACACACTGCAAACACGCTAAACATCACAAATCTCTCAGTTCTCAAAACTCTCTCTCTCTCTCTCTCACCGCCGTCACTCCTGAAACTTCCTCCTCTTCCTAAACAACCAAATGCCATGTTGCTATTTCATTTTTTTAATGGTCAACATGGTACATTTTTCCACCAGTAGGAAAGAGTGGAGATGTATTCAGGAAAAAACATTGCGTATATTTTTTATCGTAACTCTGGTTTTACATGGCCTATCAGCACAATTTAAAAACTGGTATAAAGTTTGAAGTCCACACTTATAACACAAACATGGAGAATCAGGGTTGCCTTGGGTTGACATAGCATCTTGTTGGTATGTCATCTGATTGGTTTACCATGACTACTTTATTCTTCCTCAGCCAATCAGCAGCACTTGTGTGATTGTTTCGCCCCGCTAGGTCCCGGTAAGATAAAGCAGACAGCTTCAACCGTCTGTGTGTTGAAAAAGTAACACATCCGCAACGCATTTTCTTGTTAGTAACTGTAACGGCGTTGTAATGATAGAAATAGTAATCCATTAGAGTTAAGTAACACCATTACTAACAGTGCTATTCCCGGAAACAAATCCGACTCTTGATTTCATCACTTAAGGAATATTCACAAACTCCCATTGTGTCGTACTGAGAACTGGAAATTGTTGTTCATACATTAATTTCATCACGTCTGGATTGCAGTCTTTGTTTATTTGTCTTAAGCAAAACTTCCTGGGAATCAGGTTGTTCAGAATGCTGCGGTGACGTCGTCTAAGTTTTCCAATTACTCACAGCATGCAGTGACTCAGTTACATAGACAGCATTTTAAGATTCTGCCTTCTAGAGCTCTCCATGGACAAGAACCAGCATTGGGGAACACTGTACATCCCGAGCAGGTCTCTCTTCCTTTGAGTTTAAGATCTGGGAAATCAGTGGTCTCTTTTGCTTAACATTTGGTTTTATCTTCTGGCATTTGAAAGGTTGAAAGCATAGGGCCAATAAAATGTTACTTACTTACTTTTAACTTATCTTTTTGGGTATCACAATCAGGTTGAAAACAGAAACAGGCTGTAAGAAGATAGACTGATATCAGTCCTCGCGTTAATAAAGGTCTGCCTGTGTACCAAATAGTGAGCAAGAAGACGATAGTAAGTAAAAAGACAGAGAAAATTGTCCTGAGGGTAATGGGGATAATGAAGTGAGGACAGATCATATTAGAAGTGCTACAAAAATAAAATTGTATTTTTAAGGTTTTTTATATAACATTGCATAAATCATATTATACTCAATCATCCTTAAATAAAGAAAATCGTGTACTCTTAAGCTTGATACTCCAAGCAAAACTCTACAATAAAGTAAACTATAATATGAAGTGAGGCTGAAATGTGAAGAGATTTCAAACTGTTCCAACATGGATGCATCGTAGATTTTCTTATATGTGTCATATGATTTCCTGATTACTGGCAATTCTAGTTACCACTACAGATTGTTGTGTATAGTTGTTAAATCAATTATTTGTTTGAAAAGACAAAAACATCTAAAGATACATGAGAGATATACAGGGTGGGCCATTTATATGGATACACCGTAATAACATGGGAATGGTTGGTGATATTAAAGTCCTGTTTGTGGCACATTAGTATATGTGAGGGGGCAAACTCCTCAAGATGGGTGGTGACCATGGTGGCCATTTAGAAGTCGGCCATCTTGGATACAACTTTTGTTTTTTCAATAGGAAGAGGGCCATGTGACACATCAAACTTATTGGTAATGTCACAAGAAAAACAATGGTGTGCTTGGTTTCAACGTAACTTTATTCTTTCATGAGTTATTTACAAGTTTCTCTTTGTTCACAGCCATTGACATGTCGAAGAGGTTAACACGTGAGGAGCGGATCGAAATTGTGTTGATATCTGGTGAACGCAGTAACCGGGTCATTGCAGCAGATTTCAATGCAAGACACCCTACGAGACCACCCATCTCCCACGCTACAGTTCAGTGTTGAATTGGTCAAAATGTGGACGCAAAAAAACTGTCACTAATGAAGAAACATCAGTGGCTGTCCTAGCTTCATTCAGCAAGAGCCCACAGCGTAGCACTCGCCGCATGTCACTGGAGAGTGGCATTAGTCGAACATCCCTTCGGCAGATATTAGCTACTCACAAATGGCACCCTTACAAACTCCAGCTACTGCAGCATCTCAACGAGGATGACCCAGATCGGCGCACAGAATTTGCAGAATGGGCAAAACAAAAATTGGAACAGGACCCTCAGTTCACGCAGAAGATTTTGTTCAGTGATGAGGCAAACTTTTATGTGAATGGTGAAGTTAACAAACAAAACCACCGCTATTGGTCTGACACTAACCCACATTGGATGGATCCCTCCAAGACTGTTGGAACAACAAAAGTGATGGTTTGGTGTGGTATATGGGGTACAACGATAGTGGGTCCATTCTTCATCAATGGAAACCTCAAGGCCACTGGATATTTGAAATTGCTACATGATGATGTGTTTCCCTCTTTATGCACTGAAGCTGGCACGTTCCCTGAGTTTTTCCAGCAAGATGGTGCACCACCACATTATGGGTGCCAGGTCCGAGCATTCCTAGATGAACAGTTTCCTGGAAAGTGGATTGGTCGTCGTGGGCCAGTTGAATGGCCCCCAAGGTCTCCCGATCTGACCCCCTTTAGGCTACGTCCACACGTACACGGGTATTTTTGAAAACGGAGATTTTCCGTTTTCGTTTTAAAAAATAATCCCGTCCACACATAAAGGCAGAAATGAAGGAAAACGCTGCTATGAACATGCCAAAGCAGCAGGTGGCGCTAGATTCCTAACCGTGCAGAAATGTTGGCCAATCAGAAGTCTAGAAGCCTCGGTGGGAAAAAGTAAACAAAGCTGGGGCATAGAAGCAGAACCGAGTCGTATGTGTGGAGGGACAGTAACTGTGTGTATATGTAAGCATTTAAACACTGCAGAGAGTAGAATTAACAGTAACAGTATTGTAGAAATTCATTTCACCGAAACAATAACGTGGCGCACAGTGTGACGTCAAAAAATGCGCACACCTTTGACGCTGCATTTTCTCCATTTTTCTAGTCCACACGTAAATGCAAAAACGGAGTTTTCAAAAATATCCACCCTGGCCGGAGTTTTTAAAAATCTTTGTTTTCAGTGACCAAAAACGCCGTTTACGTGTGGACAAAAGGTGCAAACGCATAGAAAAATCTGCATTTTCAAAACTACCCGGGTACGTAGCCTTAGACTTTTATCTTTGGGGTCATCTGAAGGCAATTGTCTATGGTGTGAAGAAACGAGATGTGCAGCACCTGAAACTATGGATACTGGATGCCTGTGCTGGCATTTCTCCTGCCGTGTTGCTATCAGTGTGTGAAGAGTGGGAGAAGAGGGTTGCATTGACAATCCAACACAATGGGCAGCACATTGAACACATTTTATAAGTGGTCAGAAACGTGTAAATAACTCATGAAAGAATAAAGTTACGTTGTTGTTATTGTTGATTGTCTATGAGAAAGCAACCCTTCTCCTCCTTTTCACTTTCAAGCCTTACTTACTGACTGACATTATTACCCTCATTAAGAACCACAATACAGATGATAAAATGGGCTATACTATAGGCCGGGGCTGCCCTAGGGAGTTTATGATTGACAGGTTCTGGTGTTATGAGCATACATTGTCCCTTTCACTCAGATCTGTTCCTTTTTATCAACTCTGGTTTCAAAGCACTAAAATAGTAACGGCCAACATGCTTATCAATGGATAATATCACAATGACTGCATCTTTTACATCTAGTAATGGACAAAAATTAATTCCAGAGACCATAAAAACCAAATCTTATTTTTTGCATTTTTCTTTGTAACCTGGATACCTTTTGGCCCAATCAATCTTAGGGTTTTGTGGTTTTTTTACAATCCCGTAAGATGGTATTGTTTACCATCTTATGAAACTGTCTCTGTGTCAACATGGAAAAAAGTAGTCTTGAAGGCATGCTCTCTATTTGGAACTATGACAAAAGTGTTTTTGAAAACTTTGGCAACAGATTTTGATGTTAGTTTCTCAACTTTCATGTTACCACAGTTTAAGATACAACGTGCGTATCTGAGATCAAATGATGGTGGGGTTTGGCAATGAATAGGGTCTGACTCATGAGATCACTAATGTAATGAAGCCTTTGAGCTTGAGCCATTCTGTCCCATTGTTTCTCATCCTGATTTATGTCATTGCATCCCATTTGATCGCTCTGTTGGATTTTATTTAAACATCATTTCCCCTTACTGGAACTTGTCCTGATGCATGCTTAGTCATCCAGGTAAGGAGATCTGAGACGTTGATTCTGTTCATCTGAACGTAGCGTTTTCAGTGGGAGAAACATTTCATCAATCATCCAAGTGACTTCTTCAGTCTCAGCTGACTGCAGGTTTTCCCAACCTAATGTAGCCAGATGGGTTACTCTGCCCTCTCCACCTCTCTCGCTCTCTCTCTCTCTCTCTCTGGCTGCTGTTCGGGTTGGGTTGAGTGGAAACACACCTGCACTCTAATTGCAGGGTGGCGACTGTCGGTATAAGGCCATGCAGGCTTCATTTCCCTATTAATTGCTTCTTTGCCTTTTGTGAGTGCAGTATCAGGCACCAATGCACTTATTTTCTTGGGATAATCAGGCAGTTTCGATCAGGCTCTACAACAGTTACAGGTAGGCCGTATGTGTATCCTCCTATCCACTTTAAAGGTTAAATAAGTGGTATAGTGGCGTATTGCTGTCCTGTTTACAGATTGGCCGACTTACTTATTTCCAGCCGTTGTGGAGAGGGCCGCTGCACTACTACCAGCAACTGATATAGCGTCCTTAATTCTGGGGTAAGTAGCATTTGGCATTATTTTGCTACTGACTATAAATTAGAATAAAACATAGCTGGGCTTGAGTTAGAGCTGGGCGATATATCGAGTTTTTAAAAAATATCGATATATTTTTATACGAGATATAAGATGTGACAATATCCTTTATATCGATATAGTCTATGTTACGTTATAATTATACTTGTGGAGCCGCAAGTTTGCCTCTCTTTCGTCCACTTTCGTCTTTACGCAACGTTACTCGGCCTCGCCTCTCCTTCACTGAACACAACTCCCCCTCCTCCCCCATCGCTTCACCTGCAGGAAGCGACAAGATGGACACGGCAAATCTCCGTTAACGAGTTACTGCGCATCGCCCCGTGCGTGGGGCTGGACGGCGTCAACGTGTTAGCTAGCTAACCACGCTAACGAGCTAACCACGCTAACGCCATGCAGCCCAGAGGTGCTGCACGGACTAAAATCCTTTCATTTTCTCAAAAGTTGACAGCGCGCCTTATGTATGAATTCTGGTTGTGCTTGATGGCCGCGAACCGATTTTATGTGGAACACGGCGCTCAGCAATCTGTCAAAAAATGTTTTAGTACGACTTTGGTAAGCTACGGAGCTGCACCGCTTGATGGATTGTCGGAGCATTACGGCTGAGCCTCGCGGAGTGATACGTACTGTGCTTCAACGTAATATTACCCTACTGTGTATAAGGACCATAAATGGCACCTGTTAAGAGACGTGGTTGCGAAGCGGATTTCAAACTCCAGGCTGTCAGTCACGCAGTACAAGTTGGGAACAGAGCAGCTGTGAAATCTGTCTTTGTTATTGTGCTCGTCTTTTAGTTTACATTTTGACTGCACATTTGTGAGCTTTTTGTTATGCACAAAAACAACATTGTTTTCTTTTATTTATGGAGCATTATTATTTAATAAATGCTCATAATTTATTTTTGAGTAAATTTTATGTACATCTGCTCTATGTTAATAAAAGTGCCTGTGTGACATCTGGGACACAGCTTTGACTAAGAACTCTCTTTTTGTTCTTACTTTATGGCTTTAAAAAATATATCGAGATATATATCTTATATCGCCATCCAGCTAAAAAATATCGAGATATGAATTTTGGGTCATATCGCCCAGCCCTAGCTTGAGTGATCTCTTGCCCGTTTATTTTGCTGGTGTTTACTTACATCTGATATTTGTACTTGCACGTTTGACTTGCTCCAGTCGCCACAGAGAGCGCCTTTTTGGAGTGTTTGCTAGGATCAAATGTCATAACGACCATCATCGGTGCAGGCAACTGTTTGCCTGTGGAGTGTAAATTCCTAGGCTTGTGTACTTTACTTTCTTTGTTTTAAAAGAGTGTGCGTCTTTTATTATTGTGTGCTTGGAGTAGATTTTTTTTAGTTTGACTGTGAGCAATGAGCCTGTTGCTAAAGCTCCTTTTCCATTAGTAACTACTCGAATCGACTCACTATGGCTCGCCCCGACTCAACTCAGGTTGACTGGTTTTCCATTACAATGCAGTACTACCTAAGGCCATGTCTCTGCTTTGGCCTTCCGTCCACACTGAGACAGCGTTTTTGGTCAAGGAAAACTGAACTCTTTGAAAAAACTCTCCAAAGTGGATACATTTGAAAACGCCGTTTTCACGTCACAGTGTGGACTGCGAAAACGCAGTCAGCCCATTTAAAAAACTCGGTGCTTTTCCTCGACATTTAGCAGCAACATTTCAAAAATAAATGGCAGATAGAAATAACGCAGGTCGAATTGTCTTACATTTCACGCATGTGCAATACAGGAACACTGTCAGTCGTTTCAGTGTGGATGAACAACTGTTCGTAAACGATTACAAACGATAGTGTGAAAGCAGAGAGTTTTTAGACAAAAACGCTGTTTTCAAATTTATCCGGATTAGTGTAGATGTAGCCTGATGTGTGTGGTCTCTCTCCCCACTTGGTGGCGTGCAGTCTGACGAAGTCACATTTTAGTACCTGCTCACTTGGAACCCCGGGTGGGGAGGTGCTAAAATAGTACTTGGTAGCAGGTATTATGACCACAATGGAAAACCCTTAAAACCGTAGTAAACCGTGCCAAGTCGATCCAAGTAGGTACTAATGGAAAAGGGGCTTAAGTGTCCTATTAGATTTTTGGGACTTTTTTTTTTTAAGCTTTTATTTAACTTTTTTCCCCAACAAATATAAGACTGGTTCACATCCAAAATAATAACACTACACAGCACTAGAATATTACAACATTATGTCCATAATTGTTGTCCACTAGGATCCAGTTTACAGGTTACTCCCAGTGCTTCCAGTGGTTTCTTCCATTTGTCCACAAAAATTCGGGAGCTCCCATCAATATAGTGTCCCAGCCTGATCAGAGTCATAACTTCAATGATGAGCGACTTCCATAGAGAAATGGAGGGAGGCTCAGCCCCCACCCATCTCAACATAATGCTTTTCCTGGCCAACATTAACAGTGACTGAATTACATGCTCATGTTGTACCAGTGAGACAGGGATATATCCCAATATACACATTAATGGGTTTTCTGTCACCTGATGACCAATGGCTGTACTAATATTGGCGCAGACCTCTTTCCAAAATGACTGGATAATAGCACATTCCCACAAGCAGTGGAATCTAGTGCCCACTCTGACCTTACACTTGAGACAGTTTGGAGATGTTCCCATATTATACTTGCTATAAATATACACATTGTGCAGACTTTTGTACTGCAGTTCTTTAAATCGGTTACAAACAGAGATTTTAGATGGAAGGACCAGGATTTTGTCCCATGCCTGTATATCTATTTCACATTTAAGCAGCGTCCCCCAAGATTTTCTCAAGCATGCCAGTTTATCCACAATTAGGGCATAAATCTCGGAATAAAACTTTGATACAAAATGTTTATGCTCCCTATTATCCAGAAAAAATTTCTCCAACCGAAAAGAGGCAGTTGAGATTTGTAATGATTTAGCATTTTTTAACACATAATTTCTCAATTGCAAATACTTATAAAACTCTTTGACATAGAATACTGGGATTCTATGTCTTGTCTTCAAGGATTCAAATGATTTAAACTCACCATGTTTAAAGAGGTCATAAAACCTCTTTACACCTACTTTATGCCATCCCACAAAGCTTGACCCTATGTTTTGCGGCAGATGGTGAGGATTATTTATAAACGTTGACAAGATATTAAACGGAAGACTACTGTTAAAAAAATTTCTCAGTTTTCCCCACGTCCACATAGCATTATATATCAGTGGGTTATGCTTTATTACATGAGGTAAGTCATTTAGACTTTAGATTTTTGGGACTTTTAATGTTGTTTTTTGTTTTTTACTGAGGTGAACCGAGGATAAGCCAGTAGCTGTGGAACCTTTGGTGGTGGGTTGTTTCCACTTTTGTTGTACAGCACCTTGGGTCCAAAGTTGGTTGGTTGGTGTGTCTGTGTGATTTTTCTCTCTCATGGTCCTCAGCTTCTGGTAAGTCCAGGTTGTTTTATCTTTGATCAATGGTTGCTAATCAATGATACATCCAGATTAACAGAGTCACCTTTATGGGACTTACTGAATCTTGTCTTTTCTTCAGAGGAGCCAGGGCCACTGCTGTCAAAGGATGATTTTTATCTCTATCTGCAGGAATTCATATTTAGTGGCATTGCTCTGATCTGGGTGCTTCCCTTCCACATGCATACAAGGGAAGTATAAGGCAAGGACAGCAGCAGCAAGACCCCAGCACAGAGCACAACAGGCAACATTGAAAACAAGGGTATAGGTGGGTTGCAGTGCAGCTTGCAGATGCACAGCAAACACAGTCAGGCTGAAGCGGCTTAAATAGTGTGACCTCTTTTTGACGCATAGAAGAATAATCAAGCCATCAACTGATGTGGGCTGACACTGAGACCAGTTGATCTTCCTGGATTACACCATACTTGACTTCATGATCTACCAGAATTCACTCGTCCCGTCCGCTGTCATGCCGTACTATAAAATGTCAGCTGTGTGTTTGCCAGAATCACTGGACTCTGATCTGGACGGCTGCCATTCATTCAACTGTTTTATTAGCGTACACATAAAACAAACACACACAAGCAAGCAGCGCCACCACGTCAGGACTGACATCTGCTCTCAGACCCACTTTATGGTTGCAGTGTATACTATGCATGTGTGAAACCAGGCTGTTAAGAGCTCGCTTCCATATTTGTACCATATGTGTTTATTTGTATATTGGCATCTTTGTGTACATGTCAGTTGGTGTCAGTGATTAATTAGTGTAATCCACTTCCTTATTTCTATAATAAGAAAAGAAAACATGATAACATCATATAAATTTCTCCCCTGTACCTGAGCCATTCAGCTCCCTAAATAAGCTAAGAAATGCATAAACTAGCTACAGAGAGGACGGTGAAAGGTTTTTATGCACACCAAATAAATACAATACATTTGAATATGATGTAACTATGAAAATATTGAAAGCTATTTGAATGTAGGCTGTACTTGGACCAAACGTATTAGTCTGGTGTATTGTTTTTTCTGTTCACTTTCTAAATTTGTGTTATTGCGCTAATCTTTACTAATCATTTTAAAGGTAAATGCACAATTAATATGTCCTAAATAATGACTGAACAATGAAATTTCTGGATTTCCCGGCAATCTGCTTCAGACTTGTTGAAGTGTCTTAGGTGGGAAAAGTGGTGGACTGGCCAACCAAAGTGCCATTCTTTAATTTACCTGATTATATAATGTAAATATTAAACTGATCTATTAATATGATTTCTGACTCGCTTCTCTGACACACCTAGGTACTGTAGTTCACTGATAACCGCCAATCTGACCCACTGCATGACTCAGATACAGCATTATATGGCGCTTCCGTGTCTGCCCTTTGAAAACACTCATCGATACAATTCTTCGCTCACTTATTGTATGCTTAAAACATTCAAACAGCCACTGTGGGATCAATACTAGGATTTGCACACAACACACACACAGTTACTGCTCAGGTGGTCCAGGTTTGCTTCCCGAGTTTTCCCTCAGTTCACAGCTTCAGCCTGTGACAGGGACATCACTGTCTCACTCTGATAACATGGAGCAGCTTAATGTTTAGCCCAAGACCCATGCACATGCACACACACACACACACACACACACACTAGAGAGCTAAGAGATTACAAAGGCACAGAGACCCATATGCCGACAAGCAATGGAGACGAGTAAACTCAATGTGAGGCGAATGCGAGGTAACGATCAAGGTGAGTTATAACTGCTAATAGCATTTTAAAATGTGTAATGACTGAAGAAGAAAAAACTTGAGGTGGTGCTACCTGCCACTGCATCTTTATTTCTTCTGCACTGAGTGAAGAAGCAAAGTGATGGAGTTCAATTCTGTACAGATGGTAAATTATTACTGATTGTATTGACTGGGGAAAATAATTGACCGTGAAAGTCGCCTAGCTGATATTTATAGTAAAGTGAAAACTTGTTGAAGTCAGTCTAAGCCTTTAATTTGCTAAGTAGGGCTATTAGCCTGTTAATCCACACGAGAGGCTGTCAGCTGTGCTGCGTGGCCTGAGAATGAGTGAGTGAATTCATTTTGAACTTGTAATAATGTAAAGAACAAAATTCAACAAAATTTTCTTTCTCTTAAAATTTTATGATTTTTTTTTTTTAATCTGGACAGGAAAATGCTGGCAAGAGAGATTAATGTTAAACACGCTGTTTAATATATTAATAGACTTAGCAGCCTTCCGTTCAAGAAATTATGAAAACAGGATTTATTGCTCAGACTTTACAATTTCATGAAAGAGAGCGTTGAATAATGTAATTAAAAGGAAGGCAAATGTCTTTAAAACAGACTTTTATCCGTAAATAATCGGATTACTTTTCAGAGCAGGAAGCTATTTCCATCTATGGTTGAAGTAATTTATCGTTTCATTTTTTTCTGATTTTGATCATCTTACTTTACATCCATGAAAAACAAAAGAGTGAGAGACATAACCCATAATCCAGAGCCATTATGAGAAAAAAACGTGGCACAGAATAGTTTGTTGAAATCAGTAAACTTCTTAAGTTTGGCTTTTAATAGTTGTATTAACATTTACAAATGTAAATCATCTCGATAAAATTTATAAAACAAAAGCTTGAACCTTCCACAAAAAATGAGAAAATAGGAAGTGAAAACTAAACTATAGTCTTTGAACTTTGGTTAATTAAGGCTAGCTGTTACCCCCAGCTAACGTTAATATTTTGTAAATATTGTTTTCTGGTGTTTACTTCGACATATTTTACATTTAATTTGTTTCACAACCTAAATATTAATTTTCAGTGATATTTCTGACCAGGCAGCATCTTCCTTTAAAACCTCATTTCAGTCCATGTAGCACATACGTGTGTGTGTGTGTGTGTGTGTGTGTGTGTGTGTGTGTGTGTGTGTGTGTGTGTGTGTGTGTACATATATATTCGTATGTGTACGTGTATATAGTGGTTTGCTCTATATGTCTGAAATAAAGATACAATAACAATATATGTAATACTGTACATTCAACCTACAGGCTGACTGAACATTGTAGAACAGCTGGAGACGGGGGGAGGGGGGGTTTCGCGCAGTTAGTCTACACAACCCAAAACTAACGTAAAGCAATTATTATAATTTTTATTTTTATTCTGTACAAATTATTTCAAATAAAAACACGTTATGGGCAATTGGCTGTCAAAGTCTTGTCTGTGCACAGTAAACATTAGAAGTGAACTGAATTTATTAGGCTGACAGGTAGACAGACAACTCTAAGAAAAGGGTGCCCCAGGCAAAGAAATAGTCTGACGGCTTTTTTAATATTTGAACTGTTGAACAAATGAAACAAATAGAAGTTCATACCTCTGACAGCACTAGTGCCGAATTCAATTAAATGTTTCTGTCAAATCACAACAACAGGCACCTCTAGTTACTTTGCATTATAACGTGAAACCCTACAAAAACAGAGAGAAATCAGTTGAACAGTCTTACTGCTAAGCTGAGCTAAATATCTGGATGACTTAATATTTACAGCAAAGAAATGAGAGCACTCATCTAATTTATTCTCATCATTTATTAGCCCAGGCTTAATCTGTTTACTCTAAACTATTAAAAATCTTTGAAAAGTTATTTAGAAAACTACACATATTAAATAGTTTAAGAAAAGACGAAAACGCCTCGTCTGGGGATCCTCAGCCCTTCCCATGAGGGTGGCACGGATGCCCCTCCGGTGGTCCTCCTTGGGCTCTCGCACTCTGGGGCCTCTGGATGTCTGGGGCCTGGATCTCCTCCATGCCTGCTTCATGCCCTGGGGGACGGGGCTATGGCTCCTACATCCTCTTGCAGACCATTACATGTGGAAACCATTTGAATACAAGCGCGCTGATCCACACAGGTGTGCACACGGTGTTCACTGTTCGTAGACTTAAATTACACCTTTCTTGGCTGCTACTTCAAAGCACATTGTGCGCTGTCTGTCCTGCGTGCTGCACAACAACATTGAATATTTAGTATTTACTGCTGTTTACACTTAGCTAGATTAATGCGATGGTGTTGTGTTTAGTATGTTGCTTTGTTTTTTTTTGCTTGTTTTCTATTCTTTCTCTCTCAACAGGTGATCCAGGAGATTTTTTTTCCCTTTCTCACTGTCCCTCTCCCCTTCTGTTTTTCTTTTCCTTCCTCTTTCTTTCTCCCTTTCCTATCCCTCACTCATGTCTGTCCCGTCTGTAACAACTGAAAATAAGAAAAGAAAAAAAAAAAGAAAAGACGAAAACATCCAGTAATTTCTGTCTCTTTTTGACAGGGATTGTTGAAAATGACTCCCCAGCAGAACCACATGGCAGCAGCCCCGCTCGACCTGTTTCTGCTCTTGTTCGTCTCTACGTGTATGCGCTGCATGGCTGCCTCTGCGAGGTGGCCTTCACTGCTGTGTGGGACTGGTGCAGCACCCAGGACAGGAGGCTGGCAGGCCACAGCAGTCTGTGGGCGCTGCCCATGTATGCCACAGCAATCTATCTCATGGAGAGGCTGAGGGCACTGATGCTCGCTCAGAATCACCCACTGACTGTGCGGCTCGTGCTCTACACTGTTTTCATCTACCTGTGGGAGTTCAGCTGGGGTGTGGGGCTTAGTTTGTTGGGAGCCTGTCCATGGGACTACTCAGGCCATAGGTACAACCTGAGAGGACTGATAACTCTGGACTATGCACTTCCCTGGGCTGTGGCTGCATATATAGCAGAACAGCATGTGATCAGGCACACTTTAAGAATAAGACTGCATAACTGAACCGCTGTTGTGACGATCTGGACTCATGTGCTTCCAAAACACTTGATTAATTAATTTCATATTAATTATATTAAAAGTAACTATTCTGTTGTTTTTAGCAGTATAATAAACCTGACTGGGAAAGTACATTAAAGGAGTAGTCTTGATTTTGGAAAATAAGATAACAAAAAGTCTCTACACAAAGCCACAGATATGAATTAGCCTGGACACTTGGAAAAATAAAATATTATGAAGAAACAGCAGGTGTAGTTTTATAGTAAAGTGAATAAAAACAGAAAGAATGATCAACAATGAGCTTTGAACTATTGAGAAAGTGAAGCCAGCTTTCTTACATCCTTTGATCTTTTCCCAAAGGATTATTCACACTAAGCTAAAAGAATCCAATTGCTTAATACAGTCAACACTCACCTTTTTATATCTTTGCTTTAAGAAGCAGTTTTACTTTAAATGTTTAGCCTCATTGAAAGTAGAAGAAACTCCAGCAATCTATTCTCTCAATGCAACATAAATACTCTTCCCTTTGTAGCTTCAAGGCCAAATTCATGCACGTAAGCATACAAGGAACTCTCCAATATTTCATCCTTTAAAAAGATTGTTTAAAACAGCTTGTACCGATTTGCAATGAGGAAGTTAGTGTATGTATTTTTAAAAAAAACTGAACAATAACAGCACACGTGGTTCAGCACTTTTATGCACATTACACAAAGGCAAACATAGATTTACGCTCTGCCTATGCAAGACAAGACACAAGCCTATTTAAGTCTCCACAGATAACGTGAGACAAAGCGTCCTGCAAAGTAGTAGATGGGAGCAAAAATTAAACAAACAGTGAGAATAAAAAACAGGAAATGTCCACAAATGTAGCTAAATGCTGAAAAGTAAGTGTCAGACCAGAAACCAGTTAGTCAAAAACACAAACACGTGCCTTGCGTTGTGCGTTTAGCCCTGTACATTTGGCTGTGCTGTGATTGGTGCCTTCCTGGTAACATTTTTTGCTGGTGCATCTAAAGCAGTAAAATTCTGAATTCAAACAAGCTCAAATTTCAGCACTGGGATTAAATAAAATAGTAGACAAAACCTAATAAGTGGGCTTTAAATTATCTTCATATATGACAATAACATCATTAAGCTTACGCACTGCCACCCCCAAAGTATCTGGAACAATTCAAATCTTTATTGAAAGGCTCTTTCAGACTGTCGACCGAAGGCTAATTACACTGCTGATTTATAAAGTGTCACCAGTTCTTAAATGTCAGCTTTGTAAGAGACTACATGACAAATGTAGGTGGTTGAAAAGCAGAAGACAAGTACTCAACCAATCAGAAATGTCCAGCGCAGCAAGCTCCACACCCATAGTTCCCATTACTTATTAATAAATATTGTCCCACCTAGCTGGAACGTTTTATTGCAGGGCAACGTTCCTGGATCTTAATTTATAGCTTACGCGTCCATGGGAAAAGTGTAGTGAAAACAATTCAGAAAATGTTCATTAAAAAAATATTTGTATTTGTTTTTTTAGTCTGGGTGCCATCGATAATTATGACTGGCATCTCACAGCCAAATATGCTTTGAACTCATTTACAGTCATTTGTGCATTACTGGGGGAAATCCCGTACTCCATTAAACAGTGGTGATTAAATAGGAACCTGGCAGTTGGCACCTAACAGCAGTGTCATCTGACAACAAGGCTGCGTTCCTGATACTCGTTGAAACTTGTGTTTTTAAGTCCTTTCAGCCACTGGGACTGAAGTTTATGAGTGACAGTCATCTTGCAAGGAAAGCACATAATGTTATTTCTGTAGATATTTATTTTTCTCTCACACTCACATACAATTACGTCTGATGGGAGACTACAGTTTTCACATTCTTTAATCACTTTTATTGCAGGGTTTACATCATTTAGTCTTTATGTGTTAGTCCATGAAATGCCTCTCAGTGAGCAGGACAGCGCTTTCTAATACAGATGTGACTTAGAGTTCATGCTTGGATTGAGGAGTATTTAATGATTGAGGGTATCGATTAATACAGCTACAAGTAAGAAAAGTAAAAAGAAAAGTATCCATAAATAATTTTTACATGAAGATTTACTCACTTTTCAGAGCAAGAAGTTATATTCATTTATGGTTGTAATACTTTAAAATGTAATTAATTTTCTCATTTTAATCATCCTCTGCTATCCGGGGGGAAGGAAACAAAAGAAAAGAGAGTGAGACAACACAAAAATCTGAGACATTTTAAGAAATGAAGGTGGTTGAAATCTATAGGAAAACCTCACAGCAGCAATGAGGGTAACAGAAGGAAAAGGCTTTGCTAAGGCCTTATTTTAGACCTAAAAACACTTGCTGTTGTGTCTTTTTTAATATCAAATTTTCCTTGTAAATTTCTCCATACTGTTTTGGTGACCAGGGAAATGGTATGACATAGAGGTTACTTATATTACAAATATATGTAAATTTTGGGGTGTGATGCTTAAATTAATTTGTTTTTACATCTATTTTTGTATAAAATAGGTTTTTCATGAACACAGCAATGTAATGCCTCACGGTACTAAATTGAGAAATCACATCATCATTATGTCTTCCTGCAATCTTCTACATGACGAGAGGAAAGAAAAATATGAAACATGGTTTTCTGTTTAGCCTGCAGTTGCGTTACAGTTGCACTGGACGTAGCGCAGTAGCATTTACCATCAGTTGTGCAGTTGTACTAAGATGTGCAGGGAATAGACAGGGTGGAGCAGTCTACAACGGAGGAGTGGAAATACCAACATTACTTTTATTTTCATTGCATAAAAACACAGGAGGGTGATGGTAAAGCACAAATTGTGTCCAGGACAGAAACAGCCACACTGTACTGCTAACACAACATCAGGTCTTTGCAGACATCTACACAAACAACGTGCCAGCACAGAGCCAGCAGAGACACATCTTATTTATCACCATGTAACAAAGTGAGTGATGAGTAGTCAAGCTTAGAGCGCTGTAGCATTCATTTTACAATCACAGTGGCAACACTTTGAAGTCTATGTGGTGCTTTTCCACTTTGTTTTGTGGTCAAATGTAACCTTAAAAGAAAAACTGCTCTTTTTAAGAAAAGGATTTATCTTATTATCTGGGACTGTAGCCGAAGGTTCATACTGATAACTGGTAATTATGTTACAGTGTATTTCAGGACATGCTACTGAGCAACATGAAAGAAATATAAGAACAAAAAGCAGCATAACAAATTACTTTTTACTGGGAAGTAATCAAATTCATTTCTTTTAAGTAATTGTAAAAGAAACACTAGATACGACCGTAATGTTATTAAACAGAATTAATTTGGTTACAAAAATCCAAACAAAGCATTGGGTTTGGCTCCGAAACTGTCAGCCTGCTGGTTGACGTGAACAGACGTGAACAGACAGCCTGCTAAGGAGTCAAATTCCTGTTAGCTCACTGTATCAGTTCACCTCCATGCACCTCCACCTAAAAGGTTTTTGAAACAGCAGCAGGTTCTACATGTCAGTTTTGTAAGAAACTACGCAAAACATGTAGGTGGCTATGAAGCAGTTCGTTGGAAAAGTTCATCTGACAACAGTGTTATGTTCCCGATACCTGTTGAAACTTGTGTTTTTAAGTCATTAGAGCCACTAGAAATGCAGTTTATGAGTGACAGCCAACTTACAAGGAAAAGACAAATGCTCAGACATGAGGATGTTTTTATTTATGCATTTTACTCGCATAAAATTACATGTAGTGATTGATGAATGCGAGAATATAGCATCATTTTGTAATTGTTTATTAATACTGTTTACCCTTACTAAATGGTCTATGCTACTTACTGTATTTGTTTTATACATGAAACACTTTCAGTTGTTCGAGCTCATTTAAAGAATACGTGCTCCCCTCCCAGCATATGTTTCAATGCAGCTGTGATTTGACGGTTGATGCTTAAGGTCTCTTCCTCTCTGGGTTTTGGATCACAACCAAGGCGACAGTCCCCTCAGCTCTCTGCCACTGGTATCTACGACAGAGAAAGTCACTGCATGTAAAACCACACTGGAAACCCTGGAGAGTTCACTTTCAACACTTTTGTTCCAATAATTTGTACACTCAGTGAAAGAGTTTGTGATTTACTGACAACTTGATATTGACTTACTGGCTCTGCTCGGGAATGAGCAAACTGTCTCCTGCAGGAAGACTGAACTCCTGCTCGTTCATAGTCACTGTGGAAGATCCCTCCTAAGAAAGAGATGTAGAAGAGGAAGGGAGACTTACATGTGCGTCCAGGGACAGACTGTTGGGACAGACTCTGCATACATACCAACTGCCAAACCCACACATCAGTTTGGGGTGTTGTCATCTCTGTGAGTCCAGGTCCGAACACCATCGCCTGTTGGGGAGGCAGTAAAAAGAGTCTTGTTTATCACTATCATTACCTACAACACGTCTAGTCTCCTGTTATTTCAACAATAATTATACCTTTGACTTGTACTTTTAGTATCAAAACATCCTTTCTGCCGGATAGACCGTACTATACAGTTGTGGTCAGAAGTTTACAGACACTCATCATGGGCATGTAACTTTGTCATAGTAATTTTGTTCCAGTAGTTTCCAGGTCAGGGTAGGCTTGTGCCTTTGTGGCCCCTGGATTGTCCCTGAAAGTCCGAGCCAATACCCTCTCATGTGAGGGAGACAATTTGTGTCTTCTTGTGGTGGCACACACATTAAACCTGTACTTACAAATATTTATTTAAGGTGTGATCTTGCAACCTACAGTTACTTAGTGCTTTCAAACAAATCTTGTTTATACTGGCAAAAAGAAACAACCATTGCCAGCAGTCAACCACGATCTCTGACAAGAAGCTGGTCTTCAAGGACACTGCAGAACCTTCAGGATTGCTTATTAAAAGAAATAAGTGAACGTATGTTTATATTTGAGTGTGTTTGTACACGTTTGACCCTGAGGGGATTTAAGACATTTTTTGGGGGGTTTTTTGTAACTAATTAAAGATGCGTGCTGTGCAATGATTCCACTTTGGGGGGAAAAAAACACAATTGAAAGAAATCATGAAAACCAAAATTGTAACTATATATGAGTGCAGGCCTAAATGAAATGTTTTACTGAAAATGGCTGAAAAAAACCCTGATCAACCATCTCATATATGGTCATTACCTGGCACTAGGTTTCTTACCTCAGTCTCAAACTGAGCTCCGAACATGTCGATGGGCCTGCCATTCCCCAAAGACGGCCTCTGTTTTTCCAGCCAGTCTTTGAAGGAGAAGGGCGTCATCACGTTCATGGTGTTCAGCTGGAAAGGAGGTTCCCTGAAGACTTCATCTATCCATCCAATAATAAACAATGACACCAGCTCAAAGTTTACAGGGACTTACAATTTCCTCTGAACAACTCACTTGGATCAGGTTTTCCTGTCTTGCACTGCTTGGATGCCATGAACCTGAAAGTAAAATGCAGTCAAGTCAACATACTTAAAAGAAAGAGCATGATCTGAGTATGACTTGTAAAGATGAAAAGATGCCTTACTCCTTGATTATTGGCACCAGCTGGGTTCCTAGATCCTGACAGTAGAACCATTTTTGAAATAGGATGTCAGTGGTGTTGTCTACATAGTACCTGAGAGCACAAATACATGCTAACATAAAAATCTGTTTACAGGACAAATGTGTTTCACTAAGATCTAAGACTCAATTCAATAACATTGTTATTTATCTATTGTAGGACCCTACAATAAAACTGAACAAAGTAGCTGCTGATGAAGATAGCCACTTAATTAAATCCAAGGCATCACTTAACATTTATCATTTATATATAAAAAATGTAGCCAGTGGTGTAAATACATATCATTAAAGGTTTATTTGTTTAAATAATTAATCATTAAGCAAAATGTGCTGGGTATAATCTGAGGTATACCAGTCCCATAAATTTTATTTGACCAGATTCGATAAAGTTAGACATTTTACATTTTACTTATTTTTGTTCTTGCTTGTACTTGAAAACTGATTAATTAATTAAAGTAGCTTAAGTCATACATTTTTATGAGTGTAGTTTTAAGTCTTGCTTAATACAGCATGCTGTCTTTTTAGTAAATTATGGTCCTGTATAGAGAAAAACAGACAGTAAGGAGAGTATTTGTAGAGCAGGGGTGTCCAAGTCCAGCCCTCCAGAGCTACTATCCTGCAGCTTTTAGATGCAGCCCGACTCCAACACAGCTGAATCAAATGATTGGATTACCTCCTCAGCATGGCACCAAGGTTGGCAAAGGCCTGATAACAAGCCATTCATTTGATTCTGGTGTGTCGGAACAAGGATGCATCTAAAAGCTGCAGGACAGTAGCTCTGGAGTGGTAGTAGGACTGGAGTTGGACACCCCTGCTTTAGAGTATAGCCGGGTTGTGATTTATGGAGGGTCAGGAGTGCCAGAATGAATTAATTAGCAATACCATTAAATTATTAATTAAATGTTTACTAAATTAATTACATTTGGAATTTATTAATTACATAAATAATTAATTTACTGCCTATTCATTTTATTCAAAACATGTAATAATTTATTTATTTATTTCCTATTCTAATTAATTAATGACATGTTTAATTAATGAAATTATATATTTAATTGTGTATTTATTTAATGATTTTGGCACTCCTGGCCCTCCAATTGACATTTGAATTTGATTTTATTTGTTGTAAAAATGTAACTTTGTTACATACTTACAAGGTAAACATTCACGTTTACATCGAATCTGGTCAAATAAAATATATTTAACTGGTTTACAGTTTATACCACACGTTTCATTACTGATCTTTGAAAAACCTCTTTTTATGTCAGCTGAGTTTTAATTAAACGTATTGCCTCGTGTTTATGAGGGCAAAGAATCTTTTCTTTTTAAGTGTCCTGTCATGTTTATGACCATTCATCATTTTTCTGTTGTCAACAACTCTCTAAGAAAAAATGCAGAAAATCGAAACTGCCACAGCAGTGAACCTCAGGCAGTCGGTTTCAGTGAGCAGTCTTCTCCTTTCCATCACCAAGCCCACGGTGTTAGCCTGCCTCTGGGGGGAGTGAGGGATCCGAGCTGGCAGCAGAAACATCTAGAATTTGAGACAAAAAGTAGTGGAATGCACAGTGAAGCAGATTCACCTGAGATAAAGCTTATTGCACAAGATTGCTGTGCTTCCTTATTTCTAATCAGCAGAGAGCGATGGGAACTGGAGCAGAAAAATAGTTTCCAGGAGGGTTTAGTGCAGTTGTCTATCTCAACCAGCATTTCACTATTATGTGTAAAAAAAAAATTTATTCCTGTTTTGAAAGATGACCAAATAATTTCTATGTTCTCTGTTAAATAAGTATCTTACTACAAATTTAGAGCTAACACACTACATTGTGGGGGGCCTAAGAGACCTGGGCCCATCCCGACTGGCTGTGAGAAGAATTTTCTTAGGTCTTATCTTCAGTTACTAAATGTGGTTTTGTTTGTTTGTTTGTTTTTTTAGTAGACAGCTTTTATGACATTATCACTGACAAATTCTGACTATTCACTACAGCCTGTTTCACATTTACAATTACCTGTTAAATCTGAGCAGCACAGCGCGGTTCAGCACAATGTGAAGAAACGTTCCTCTGCTTTATTTGGGCGCTGCTGTAGACGGCTCAGGTTGTGACATGGGTTACTGAACTTGTATGACTTCCTTATGTCTAAAAGATATTTACACCAGTCTCATCGGGAAAAACCCAATTGTTAACAAATTGGTTTTCGCAGGTTTTCTTCCTCCTTTTCACAGGAGGAGTATACTTCAGGGTCTGTCAGTGTAAAATGGGAGGAAGGGGCTACAGCATGCAAGTCAATGCATCAAATATATTTTCTTTTGAAAGTATAAAAAATGTGGAGAATAAATGGTTGTTCGAGCTGAAAGTTTCAGTAAAGTTCAGTGGCTCTGCAGCTCTCACTCTTTCTCACTCATCTGATATTTAATTACAATCTCTTTGTTTAAGTGAATAGACGGCCTGTCTCAGTCTTCACAATTAATAATGATGGATTGGGAATTGTTTTCTTAATCTTTTCACACATGTGTAGCAGAAGTATTAAAAATAATAATCTGTGCAATTAAAAGGCCCAGACCAAATTACTCTGTACCCATCCAGAGGTAGAATCCTGCAGCTGCTCTTGCATAAACAGCTTAATTAATGCTTTTTAAAAAAGTGTTCTTTATGTTTTATGCAATTTTACAGTTAAATTCCATCTGAATGAATGAATGTGTATTTGTGCACAGCAAAGTACGAAGCAGAAACATAAAAGTTTAGAGCTTACCTCTCCCTCTTTGATGTGTACATCCTTGTGTTTACCATTTTCAATCACCTTCAGACACATGTCCCCCTTCACCTGGTAGAATAACTACTTAAAACAGAGAGAGAAAGACAAACGAAGAATGGCAGTGGGTTAAATACATGTTATAAATATTTATTTGCAGGCATCAGCAGATACTTCAGTTGTGGAAAAACGGTTAGTCACAATTAACATAAAGACATCTCAGACCAACCAGTCAAGGCTCAGTCTGGATAATGTAGTACATCAATACTGAAAGAACCAAGAAGGAGCTATAACACAGAGGGTCCCAAATGCAAGGAATCAAATGTCAATATTATGTTTAGCTTCTTGATATTTCTTAAAGGGCAGTGAATCCTTTCAGCTACGTTAGTCAAAAGTATTTCCATTGGCAGAAATGTAGACACTCCGTGCTTCATGTTAGGAACAAAAAGATCCTACACTGATTGATCAAAATCAAAATTATTAACCTAGAGAGGACATGCTGAAAATCACATAAAAAAAACAATGCAGCAGGCTAGTCTAATTTACCAAAATCAAAATTTTATTGCAGCAAATCAATCAAATGGTCCTCAGTAGTTTGTATGGACTCCACCAGCATGTATGCATGCCTGGTAATGTCAGGCATGCTCCTATTGAGATGGCGGATGGTGTCCTAGAATGTCTGGACCGGGACATCACTGAGCTCCTGGATAGTGTGAGGTGCAACCTGGTGGCATCGGATGGTCCCAGAGGTGAGCATGGAGGCCTGTAAGTGGTAATTCTTTCATTCTCAATGAACTGCCTGGAATGTCTCACCACATGAAGCTGGGTGGGTATTGTCGTGCACGAAGAGCAACTCAGACCTTCCATGGCCCTGTCCAGCTCTCCTAGAAAAACTGCCTGTCTCTGTGCTGGGAGACACAGCAAACCTTATGGCAATGCCACATATTGCTCTGTCATCCTTGAGGAGTTCAACTGCCTCAAGAACTACCTCTGTAGTGTCCACATATCACCTTCCTTTAATTTTTTTTGAGCAGCATATTTACCACCCTGCTCATCCATGAAAACTAAAAGGTCAGAGGTGGGTAGAGCAGCAGTAGGACCCTAATAGAACAGGCTTTAATGACAAAAAAATGACAGTTACTAAGTCAGATACAGCATGAAAGGAGTAGATGGAAGGGAGGTGGGTGGCAAAGTGGCTTGCAGATGTGTAGCAACTGACAAAGCAGCTTAAATAGAGCGCCACATATAGCCATATATGTGATGTGTGGATTGTATCACTCGAGCCTTCAGCTGATATGAGTGGGCATTTCTTGGAGCTGCAGCTGACCTTTACTTCATGGCCTGTTTGAACAAACACCATGTTTAGATTTACAAACAAAGAGCTCATAAGTGACTCTGATTCAACTGATTGAGTGTGATGCAGTTGGTGTTCAGCAAGAAGCATGACAACAGTCTCCAGGATGTAGGCACACGTTTCTCTCTCAGTCACTGAACAAGAAATGTATGGATAATCAAATAATCAATTAAAATCAAAAGAAGAAAACCCATAGAAATAATAATAATAATAATAATAACATTCATGAGCCAAACCAGAAGCTTATCTTCCTGTGTTATGGCATAAATATTTATGACAGTCAGATTCCTCAGACTGGCTCAGGCATTTAGTGGGTTTGGTTTGGTTTTTCTTTTTTCCCACAATCTGCCAAGCGCATCAAAACTTACTGGATGGCATTTCTAATCTAATCTTTCTTCCTTTCTATTTTTAAACACAAACTCTGTTACAAGAACTGTAGTTTCCATATAATTATGTTATAATTATGTTATGTTAAGAGAGTCCTAGTTACTCCTGCCGTTGACTGCACTTCATTGAATTTCTTCATTTTAACATTCAGAGCATTGGGCAGAAATCACATTGCATCAACACCCACCAAGGGCCTTCGTGATGCTTTGTTTTAATTAATATGAACCAACTTAAATTAAAGCCACCAACTTTGTTTTAAAGCTTAAAATTTAATGTGCAGAAACTTGCAGCTTCACCAAAAAATCATGAGTAACTGTCAAAAAAGACAGAAAAGATCTGTATTTTTAGACCATGTCAGAAATTACCACAACACTAAAAAGGGTATCCAAGAGTCATGATTCAGTATCAGTGAATGTTTAATGTTGTGAAAGTGGCTGTCAGCTGACACACTTTATACTTTGACACAGAAGCAAAAAAACCCAGTAGCAGCAGCTGGCCAAATAGCCTAACCAAGCACTGCAACACGTGAACAAATGAAGCAACTTTGCGAAAAACTGTAAGAAGCTAACTAATGTTGTCTTTTGTATTAAATTGTAGGTTCTTCTGCTTCCATAGTCCATGTTTGTTGCTGGAATGAGGGAAAAAAAGAGACTAGTCCAACTCTCACCTCCTCCCCTTCCTCTATGTGATAATCCTTCCTGGTGTTAGGGCCTCCGACAAACATGACAAGCAGCTGGGAGAAGTGCCTGAGACAAAGAGGAATTAAAATCATGTCAGTGCATGCACTGCGTGTCCTCGCAGTTCAACTGACTGAATCCCAAGTGTTCAAACCGCCACATAAATTACACATTGCTCAATAATTACAAAACTCAATTCACAAAGAATAAAGAGTGAGAGTGTAGCTAAGAGTAAATGTGTTACTTACATGAGTTTGTTGCACACTGGGGGCAGGAAAGCATTCTGATTTTCTGCAATCCAGTGTTCCACATTGACCTGAAGAGTACTGCTGTTCATTTTGATGTGATTTGTGCTGCAGAATGAAACCTCTGGGACTCTCTGTCTGCTGTTATGACTGCTTTAAGCAAGAGGACACATAAAGTCCAAAATGCAGAAGTGGGAGTAAGCAAATCGGGGTGGAGCACAAGGGTTAAAGGTTGTTGTTTAATAAGTAACATAATGCTGTCCTGCAGACCAAATGGAATCCTTTGCAACGTGCACAACGCCACGATGGGAGCAGTTTTTACCCGGCCTATGCTGTACAAAGGGTATTTGAGGTCTAGTTGAGGTAAAAAATTATTCTCACTCAGTTTTCTGCTTCATTGGTGGTTGTATACTTTGGTTGGGTTTCAATCAACTTGTAATTAAAGTCCGTTCCTTTAATTTTCTATTTTTATTTAAGTGAAAGCACACAAGTTACACTTATTGTGCATTTTGTGTAATCTAAAACTGTTGGGTTGATCTGACTTTAAAACAAACACAAAAAACTTGCTTATGTTACCAATTCATGTAATAAAATTAAGTTCTCTGTTTTTTCAGTGGTGTTTTTTTTTGGGGGGGGGATTGTGTATAACATGTAAAATATTTAGCATCTTCTTAAAATTCAATATAGCATAAAAGTTAAAAATCCGACCTGTATGCTCATTTCGAACCAGAAAACTGTCCTGGGGTCAGTCAGACCAATCAAACTTTTTATTTTATTTCTGGATGGATGGATGAATTTGTGGATGCTGCATCCTCCAGCCTGAAGAGGAGAGGGACCAGAGGCCATTCTGGCTCATTATCAGCACACACTTCAAAAGCTACAAAACACATGGGTGTACAAACATGGTGAACAGAAAACATTGATCTACTTGGATTTTCCAACACAACCATCTATGAAGTTTGCAAAGAATGGCCCAAATAAGAGAAAGCAACACTTTTCTGGGGGGAAATGCCTTGTGTGTGCCAGAGGTCAGGGGAGAAAAACCAGGCTGCTTTGTGCTGGTAGAAAGGAAACAGTAACTGAATAATCATTACAACCAAGGCATGCGGAAGAGCTTCTCTGAACCTAACCCCAACAGGTCGCAGCAGATGACATTCTAAAGGGTTTACTAACTTTTGAGAATCAACGATGAATGAAGATGAAAGTCTGTGTGAGATATTTGGTCATGGGCAAACAATACACTGACCAATAAAAAGAGTCAGGTTTAGTCAGCCAAGTTTACATAAAGCCACAAAAACATCCACCACAAAGAAAACTGAAGTGAAAATGGTAATTTAATCTGTTCAGTATCATATCTGCTGTACAAAGTGTGCTTAAGAGTTAAGACATTTAATCAACTGGTAATCACTTAACCTTCAGTATGAAAACAAAACAATTAACTATACTATTGACAATGTTTTTGATGCAAGCTCTGTCGTGTTTTCAGTGTTTTCTTGCCAAGATATGTTGAGCAAGATTCATCACAAGAGCAGTTGCTTCTTCCTTATCGTATTATATTGTGTGACTAATATATTCTTTGCTGAAGAATTATGTGACCAGTGAGCAGCAAGTACATCAGAAATTTGAAGTTCAGTGGAATATGAACAAAGAAGTCCTTCAAGTGCTGTTCAGAGATATTTAGTAAGTAAAAACCTGCCTCCTAGTGGGCCAACTTGAAATGACAGTTTTACAAGTAGCTCACATTTTTTAAACATATACAGCAAAAAAGTATATGCTGTAAGTTATCGAGAGCATAAACAGATTTTGCTGTTGAAATGAAATTTTAGGTAACTTATCAAAATGTAGATAAATGAAGACGTGTAAGTGCACACAGTCATGTGGAATGTTTTAGACAGTTAAAGTGTATTTTGTCCCAAAAAAGAGCTTGGGAACATGGTTATACTACTTCTGTTAACCCCATTCAATAAAAAGCTGCGTCTACACTTAAGGCACATTTTTTTATCCTTTCAAATCCATCGTACTGGTGTGCAGAGGTGTACAAAGTTAAACTACCACTGTCCAAAAACATATTAAACTCGCTGTAGATGCTTTTAAAGGAATTTCCGCCAGTTTATTCAAAGAGTGAAAGTCTGAGTTAACTCTATGCCATAAACAAAATAAGAAATAAGAAAGAAAATACTTTTATTTATCTAGTTATTGTAACTAAAGCTATATTTTGTTGCATCTGTTATTTATTGTTTTTTTTCTGTGAGACGGTCCCCCCCTCGTGGTCACAAAGGTAATAAAATATCATCACAACACAACAGTTACGACGTATTTATTTTGTAGACAGACTGCACATAAAGTCAGAACGCGTCTATCAATTACAATTCAATTAATATTTTTTCAATGTACTTTTAATTTTATGAAAACTGTTTAAGCGGGGTCATTCAATGAAGGGATAAAGACTTAATTGGTTCTCTTCCTGTGTGTTCCTTTTAACCCATCACAACCAATATTAGCTTGTGTACACTCAAATTAGTAACGTGACCTCTAATCAACGCATTATATATTTTTATACTTAGTCGTTTTGAAGCTTATTATTTATTTAAGTATTGATTATAGTTTATATGTTATTCCTGATACACTTTTTTAAAGAGAAAATTGGATGTTAGTGCTACCTGCATCCGCTCGTGTTTTGTTGGGCTCATCAGGTTCAAGCTAGGCCTCGGTGGTCACGTGATTTGTGGCCTCACTGAGGCGGTGCCTTCTGCTCAGCGTGCTGCACGCAGTTGTCTCAGCAAACACCGTCACATTTGTAATTTGGGGTTCAAAAAATTCCATATAAGATTTGGACGTGTGTTTAGCTGATAGAAACCGAAAAGTCCTTGCTTTTTGCGGATTAATTAGATATAAATATTCTTTCAGAGACACGAACCGATATGTTCACACATAAGAACTAATTCCGGTTCACTGGGAAGCTTTGAACTGCTTTCTGGAAAGTGACCATTGTTGTAATCAGGTCGAGGCTGTTATCATTTCCACTTGCTGACTTTCTTTGTGTTTTTTACGGATTTGCAGCAGAAAAACAGCGCAAGCTTTTTAGAGTGTCATGAAAGAAATGTCAAGGTAAGTTATGCATGTGAGACATTTTTTCCTCATGAATGATTTTGCCCGCGTTTAAGACAATTCTGAAGAATAGGCTAACGGCTAACGTTAGCAAACTGTCACAACAAGGCCTGCAGCCTTCGTTTGCTGGCTGTCTCGCTTTGTCGCTGGTGGGAAACTGCAGAGTAAATGTGTCAAAATACCCGCACAGTTTCCACTTGTTGGTTTTATTTGGGAAAATGACAACTTTTAAAATGTCTTTCTGTCGAGTCGTTACTTAAACCAATTCTTCCGTAGCATCCGGCTAACGTTTTGCCAACTTGCTAAATTAGCCAAATTGTTAGCTTCCCGTCGTGTTTGTAGCATCTCTGCTAACGCTCGCACGCTGTAAGGAGAGGTTGAATAGTGGCACTTTTTAAATTTGCTGTCTTGGTCAACTCGCTTTCCAAGTTCGACATTGCACACAACTAAGGATTTAAAGCTTGCTGTGTGTGAGAGATGTGATTTAATCAGGTTGCTGTCTGTGGAGTGTTTACACAGTATAGTGTTCGCGGCAACAGAACAAGCTAACTGCAAAACCCGACTGGTGTTTATTGAAATCTTGTTAACGAGTTGGGTAATGGTTCATGTCTTGTTCTTACTGAGCTTGAAACTTTAAAAAAAAGTGTGCTAAGTGGTGGTGTAGTATCTGCTTTTTGATCTGTTGTACCACGTTTATCGCAGCACCATGCCTAGTGGGCAGCAGCCTCAGAAACACTATGGCATCACCTCTGCGATTAGCCTCGCGCCCCCACGAGAAATAGACCACCACTACACCAAGAAGCTCTGCGATGCAATGAAACCTTTTGGAGTGTTTGAAGATGAAGAAGAACTCAACCATAGGTGAGGAATGCATGTTCTCTCTCCCTCTTTCTTTGTTAATAATATACCAATCACCACAATACAGTTTTTGAATATGTTGATTAAAAACCTATGATTTGAAGAGCTATAAGCATTTAAACTAAGCCTCTCTGATATCTATTGTCTGCATTTTATTTGATGTGCACATTAACTAAGTGAATGTACATGGGCATGGTACATGGGCATGTAAACTCTTAAGACAGGTGACCTTGTGAAAATCATTTTCACTCTCTCAATGAATTTGTGGAAATGAAGGATTGTGAAAGAAGTGTCAGCTAAAAAGTCTTTCTTTTCAGACTTGCAGTTCTTGGGAAGCTGAATAACTTTGTTAAAGAATGGATTGCAGAGATCAGTGAGTTAAAGGTAGGTTCTGCTTGGGAAGCTGAATGATTTCTAACCCTATTACCAATTTCCACCCCCAGAGTTCATTTTATGTTCATGCTGAAGTGAGATTTACGGTCCCAAAAATGTGTCTGCCTGTTTGCGCATCTCGGTTTGGGAGGTGTTCACCCACCCCAAACCTACTGTCCTAAATCATATTTGCTTCCACACACTCCTCCAAAGTCCTGACTGCCTGTCGCTGGAAGTGGGTGATGTGTCATCCTACTCTTGATTAGTTGACAAGTGGGCCAGAATAGAGAAGGGAGCAACAGTGGAGTTCGCTGGGAACGGGTGAACTGTGGAAAAAGAATTCGAAGATAAAAAGAAAAAAAAAATACAGCATGAAATACACAGACCCTAGCTACTGTAGGCACTACTTTTTTTTTTTCTTTCTTTCTTTTTTTTTTTAAACATTTGGTTTCACTTCAGCTCTTTGTGCATCAGAAGTTTGATCTTCTCTGTGTCTGGAGGAACAAAAATCTTACAAGCAAGAGTGGCCCACAGATCAATTCTACCACATACTCTGTACACTACCTCCACTACGCTGATGACAAGCTTGTCTGCAGGCCTGGAGTGGACAGTGACCGCACCACCACCACTGGGCCATAAATCCCATTTAAGACTAGGGCTGTTCTACTGTCTAATGCTTGTGCTTGTTTTTTTTTTTTTGTTTTTTTTTAACTGTTTATTGAGTTAGGCAAAATTTTTGCAGAGTTTTACAGAATTTTCCACTCTTCATAGCGGTGTGACATTTTATTGGATTAACGGGAAAGCGCTCAATTGAAATGAGCTTTATCAACAATGCATGAGGATCACTGCAGATGTCCACGTGTTTAGCACTTTATTTGTGACCCCACAGAAACACTGTGCTACAGAGGCACCAACTACGCAAGCACCCTTTAAAGAATAAATAACAGGTGTCTATTGAACCAGCAGAGTATAATCTTTGCTTTAAAGTTTCCTCGTCCACGAATATGCAGAGCCATATGACGGCATCCACATGCCTGCCAATTTTTGTGACTACTCAGCTGCACTACAAAATAATAAATACCTGTGCAGTAAAGCACAAATGGTCTTTGGTGTCTGCATCTCTCTACATTTCCAACCAAGTGTATTCCCTGTCTTGTGTGAAGATGATGGGGCTTAGTGCTTTATGAAGTGTTTAATCTTAAACTGTCTAATCAGACACTAAAGTGACACTAACACTTTCTTCTGTTTTGTTAAAAGTCATACTGATTTCACGGTTTCTTATCTCTGCTCTACAGAACCTTCCACCATCAGCTATTAGCTGTGTTGGGGGCAAGATATTTACATTTGGTTCATACCGACTTGGAGTGCACACAAAAGGTATGTGTATCTGTTACTCTAATAATTTAACATCTTGTCAACATGAAACCTGTAGTGTATGATGATTGGCTGGTTCTTTTGGCACAAAAAGAGCGTGTTAGCTGAGCATTATTACCACCTATTGCAGAACCCCGTACAAGCAGGTGTGCAACATTGTTTTTGAAAAGCTCAGCTCTCCCTGACCGCACTGAAACACAAGGCTGTCGCTGTCATTGTCATGTTCCTGTGCTATTGAGTGGTTTTGAAAAGGCTAGTTTTGGGGTCAGAAAACTGGGTAAACAAACACTGGTGTGAATGTGGTTTGAGTCTGCCATTGTTTTAAACAGCTGGCCAGTGTGACAAAAGGGTAAAATCTTTATTTAAATACAAGAGTATAATAGTGATTTGCACTCTTCTCATTTTTTAAAGTTACTTGGTTAGCATGTAAACTTTGCAGTATTTTATATTTCAACCTTTTGCTTTCTCGGACAGAATATATTATATATTGATATATTATTGTAATTGTAAATATTTTTCTTAGTAATGAGCAATCACATATTGCAAAACTGCAAATGAAGTTCTTTGTCTTTCATTTCAGTAATTTTAGTTGCTGCGGAATGAAAATGTAGTGCAAACATGCTGTCATTAAAAACCTGCGATGTCACATATGACAGCCTGATCTGTATTACAGTTTAGTCCAACTTAATGCAATCACTGTTATGCACTGTTATGAATTGGTGTTTTAATGTGAGACAGCAGTTACCAGTCCTGTGTGAGATAATGAGCTGTTATGGTCACAAACATTGCAGCATCACGGACCCAAGTTCCACCATCCTGAGAAAATTTGGAGATAGTTCTGTTAAGCTAAGGGTGCACAGTGTGTTTGATTTTGTTTTGGTTTTGTTTGTTTTTCCATCTTGGGATCTTCGTAGAATTCTATTGTAGATTTCTTCTATTTTACTGCCATATGACCACTCTTTCAAATCATGTGTCACATCAATCTCATGTCTCACACTTATAAAAGTGTTACAAAAATGTTTTCCCAACTTCCTTCCACACACCTACAGTTGCCTCTGCTGACTTTACTAGGAAAAAAACCCAATAGCACCATCAAGTAGACTGAGAAAGCAACGGATTTTATTATTGTAGTGCTAAAATTCAATTTATATTTGAAATTTGTGTAATAAACAGAGGAAGGGCATTGCTGTTCGACAAACTGATGCGACAGTTTCTGTTATGCTGGCCACAAATTGTCTCTTAAGTGATTCAAAAAATTCCAACTGTTTATCAAAACATTTTCATCAACATGGTCAATATTTAAACTCCTTTGTTAAAAATCTGCTCAGTTTTGAATGTTCCCTGCGTGTTCTTCCTTTCTAGTCCCCTTGGCAGGTTTTTTTTTTTCCCTCATATAAATGTTCAGTAATTTAGTCACCTTGAACATTGCTACTTCCTCTAAACCCATAACATTTTTACACTAAACATGAGCAGTCATTAGGCATGTTGTACTCAATAGTTGCAGAACTTCTTTGGATGTTTACATACCTAGTTTAGTATTTCCTAAGTCTGTGCTTTAAACCATAACGTTTTATCATGTAATCTTGACTGAATCAACTTTACTATCATTTGATTCATCAACCCTTTATCCTGCTGATCAATCCAGATGACACTGATCAAAGTAACTCCTCCTTACAGGAGCTGATATTGATGCCTTATGTGTGGCTCCGCGGCATGTAGAAAGAACAGACTTTTTCCAGTCTTTCTTTGAGAAATTGAAACAGCATGAAGAGATTAAAGATCTCAGGGTAAGTCTTGTTGACACAGTGGGGGGGGGGCAGACTGACCTACAGTGTCCTCAGATGTCCTTTGTTGTTGATGAGGCCTTTTGTTTGTTCTCTACTCCCTCAAGGCTGTTGAGGATGCTTTTGTACCAGTGATAAAATTCAAATTTGATGGAATTGAGGTGAGTTTCATTGTCACCCAAATGATAATCATGATTACATCATAGCATGCATACTGATTAAAGTAAACTAATTACACTACTGTGTTGGTAACATGCTTGCTGCAGGGTACTTTGTGCCATGTTGCTTTGGTCATGTTTCCCATTTCAACAAGTATGAAGGGTTAATCCCATGACGCAAACATTTTTATCTCTAATGTTTTATGTCTCTGTGTGAGCAGATTGACCTGCTTTTTGCCAGATTGGCCTTACAATCCATTCCAGACAACCTGGACCTGAGGGGAGACTCCATCTTGAGAAACTTGGACATTCGATGTATCCGCAGCCTTAACGGTGCGCTCAGTGGTCACTGCTGATCTGAGGCTTTAAGTTAAAACTGACACATCTCCAAAGTTTTCCTAATGGTAATTTCCACAACTGTAACACTGCCTTTTTTTTTTTTTCTTACAGGTTGTCGAGTAACTGATGAAATTTTGTACCTGGTGCCAAACAAAGAGAACTTCAGACTGACACTGAGAGCCATCAAACTCTGGGCAAAACGTATGTGTGCTTGCACTTTCTATGTGTTTGCCGTTGTTTGCGTTTATTGTATTTATTTGCACTTGGGTTGTGTATCCTGGATAGAGGTTTAGGACGTGGCGTCATGCACACATCGCTCGAGAGCTGCCATATTGGACATAATAAGCGTTAGCAATCATGTCTAATTACTCAAGTAGTTTAAATAGAAATTGGATACAGGCATCAAATAAACAGTATAACGGCGTAACAAATATAAGTTACTTGAATTTTTAAAATCACCAGTGTCTGTTTGAAACAATATTTGACTATTTAAAAATTTTACATGTATTATCTCGTTTTTTTTTTTAAATTTATTTTATTATTATTATCTTCATCTGCCTTCTTCACCACTACACTCAGCTTCTCACCCTCCTCATCTTAAGCCTCACTCCTGAGTTGAAGTTAAATGGTAAATGGCCTGTATTTATATAGCGCTTTACTTAGTCCCTAAGGA